TGGGTAGGAAGATTGAGAAAGCGAGACAGTGCGGTGTCATGGGAAGACTTAGGTTTACATCTATTCCAGTACTTGTGCTAAAGATGATCAAACTGAACATCCCACAAATTCCACTTTTAGGCATGCACTTGAGTCATATATGATCCAGAAGGTATGTACAAGGGTGTTCTTAGCAGGGCCTAAAAGCAAAAACGTGGAAATGGCCATCAAGAGGAGAATGGGCGAGTCCACTCTATCAGCACATGTGGATGCAGTCAAACTCTCCCAAGGGCCCAGCAGTGGAGGGTGCTCATGGGTGCTGGACGATGATCCCTTGGCTCGAGGAAGCAGAGGTTGACTGCTGGAAATAAGGTTAGCAGGAGGCCTTTGCCAGGGTTTAAATTCTCTGCAGGTGTGACTGCATTTGGTAAGAATAACTTGTGAACTACATTATGCATTTTAAAAGCAGAAAATCAATTTTGACATTAAGATTCTTAGTGCAAATGTCTTTGTTATGTGAAAGTAACAGCATCTCTTTTGCTGGAACTTTGTAAAGCATTTGAAATCATACCTTTAGCTCTTTAACATTATTACCAGACATAAAAGGGACATCAGCTGAGAAGTGCCCTTACAATAGGTGTATTACTATAGATATTCTTATCATGAATCAGTAGAAATTAATATGCACTGATCCAAAAGTAATTATTTTGACTTCAGAAACAGCAACAGGAAACAGCCCCCTAAGGGAGCATTACATAACGACTAGGGCAGAGAGTGGTCTGTCTGGAAAAGTGCTGTTCACAGGAGCACTTAAGCACAGAAACAATTCTGGCGGCCTCATGCTGACCCAGGGCGGAGTTCTATGTGCAGAGATGTGAGCAGCCAATAACAGTCTGAAGAGCAGGTAATAATGGGATGTAACACAGACCAGGCAACTTCTGATGAAATTTTTAAGAAGAGGACAGGGCTTCACTTAAATCTGTAATTCAAAGAACCTGAGAAAATTTCCGGGACACATAAGTGTTTGAAGTAATAATAATGAGGAAGCCATTACTGAGTGTAGGAATTACCTACATGTTCTTAAATAAACTGTTTAAATATTAGTATACCACAATGTGCCTGAAGAATCTAGACAAGGAGACTAATTATTAGAATAAGTTATTTGCAGCAAAAGAAAAAATGTGAAATTAAAATGAAACTCACAGCTTACGTATGGAATAAGGCTACAGCAAAGCAGCTCAATGCTGTCTCCGCGACTAAGGCAGCAACTGAGGAAAACGTATGTTCTGAAGAGATCAGAAGTTCTCTACTTTAAAAATGCCATAGAAATAAACAAATGGGACCTAATTAAGCTTAAAAGCTTTTGCACAGCAAAGGAAACCATAAGCAAAACAAAAAGACAACCTACAGAATGGGAGAAAATATCTGCAAATGATGAGACCAACAAGGGCCTAATTTCCAGAATATATCAACAGCTCATACAACTTAACAGCAAAAAAAAACCCAATCGAAAAATGGGCAGATGACCTAAACAAGCAGTTCTCCAGTGAAGACATACAAATGGCCAACAGGCACATGAAACAATGCTAAATATTGCTACTTATCAGAGAAATGCAAATCAAAAGTACAGAGAGGTATCACCTCACATCAGTCAGAATGGACGTCATTCAAAAGTTCATAAAAGAAATGCTGGAGGCTGTGGAGAAAAGGGACCCCTCCTACACTGCTGGTGGGACTCTAGTTTGGTGCAGCCCTTATGGAAAAAAGGAGATTTCTCAAAACACTAAAAATAGACTTACCACATGATCCAGGAATCCCAACCCTGGGTATATACCCAGAGGGAACCTTAATTCAAAAAGATACATGCCCCCCAATGTTCATAGTAGCACTATTTACAATAGCCAAGAAAGGGAAGCAACCTAAAGCCAACTGACACACGAATGGATAAAAAAGATGGGGGGCGGGGGGTGTACAGACACACACACACACACACACACACACACACACTAGAATAGAATATTACTCAGCCATAAAAATAATGAAAATAATGCCATTTTTAGCAACAGGGATGGACCTACAGATCATCATTCTAAGTGAAGTAAGCCAGAAAGAGATAGATAAATGCCATGTGATATCACTTATATGTGGACTCTAAAAAGAAAGACAAATGAACTTATTTACAAAACAAAGATTCACAGACATAGAAACCAAACTTGTGGTTACTAGAGGGGATGGAAAGGATAAATTGGGGTTTGAGATTTGCAGATACTAACTATTTAAAATAAATATATATATGTAATATATAAAATAGGTATTAACTATATATAAAATAGATAAATTTCTGTATAGCACGGAATTATATTCAATATTTGCAGCAATGTATAATGAAAACGGATATGAATATATGTATGTGTGTGGATGCCTCAAACATTATGCTGTACACCAGAAACTGACACAACATTGTAAATTTACACTAAAATAAATGAAGCCATAGATTTAACTGAGGAAAATGTGTGTTAAAAACAAACGAGATATCACTACACACCTTTGACAATGGCCAAAATCCAGAACACTGAAAACAACAAATACTAGAAAGGATGTGAAGCAG